CGATTCCAATTCGAGTATCTAGTTCATAGCTTCGCTTGAGGATTACTGTTTTGGAGCTTCTCTTTCACTGTACCCGTTGTATAATTCCAGCAATAAAGGTCAGTTCTTTCATCTTTTCACTGGTTATTTCATCTGCGTGTTTCGTTATTTGTTTGCATAAATGAATAGACAGCATGAAACTTTAATTCGTTTGATTGATGCTTAGTCATTTAATTTGATTATTTCTTTGTTAACTGAGTTATGGTTGAAGTTTTATTTGGTTTATTGTTTAGAGTGAGTTTCTATCTTTATATTGCTATGCTTTACTAGAAATAGATAATTGTAGTATTTTAATTTTGACAATAATTAGCTATGGCTATAAAATAAGTAAACGGCTAAATGTGGCAAAATTGGTTATGTTGTAAATAGTTGGTGCCAAAATGAAATGGGCTAGATCTAAAGCTTAGCACAAAAGGGTTTCAAATGCCATTTTTGGGCCAAGAACGACTCTGCCTAGGCCCACCTATCCCACTTCAATTTTGGCCCATTCTCAATAGCTTTACAAGTCAGCCCATTTCTTATAAACTAATGAATCGTTTGAATTCTTCTAGCTCGAGAAGATAATTAAACTCAATAATCTCAGAATTAGTAAATGAACAACGTTTGAACATTCGTAGCTTGCTTTAGGCAAGATCAATAATAAATTATCGTGATTATGGGTACGATTTTCGTGGCATAGTCATGATATATAATTCCAAATACAAGTGCACGTTTGCGTAAGTAACAATAAAATTAAACATGTTGTAAATTGCGGGTGCGTTTCACGCGACGTGATTTACAACGTGTATAAAACGATAAGTGTACACATCGTATTTGTTCTAAAATAAATCCATAAATGCTCGAAATGAGTTAAAATAAAATCAAAAGCGGTAAAATGGTCAAACGCACATAGGTCTAAAATGTGTAATCATCAGATATTTAAGCCAGGTATATTTGTTGAGCGACCGAGCTAAAATTACGGAATTCGGGAGTGCCTCACGCCTTCTCCTGGGTTAACATAATTCCTTACCCGATTTTCTGTATTTTACAGACTTTAAAAAGAGTCAATTTTTCTTGATTTGAGATTTTAAAATAAATGGTGACTCGGAACACCATAATTAAATAATTTCGAGTGGCGACTCTAAAAATAAAACAAAAATAATCCATTTCCAATTATGTTACTTAAATTGAAAAAACTCCTTATCTTCGAGAAAAGGAGGTGTGACAGTGATATTGTAAAAGTAGTGCTTTATTTTATCCCGTCTTTATCTTTGTTAAACGTTTGTGCATATTTAGTTCAAGTATATGTGCTGCTTCATTAGATTCAACTCTAATCTCTTTCTCCAAATCTTTGATTTCTCAGTCTTATCTTTTATTGCAAGAACCCTCAATAATAATTTTGAAAATCTTTAGCAATATGAAGAAGAGATTACACCAACTCTCTTCTCTCTATCTAATATTGAACTCGATTGTAGTTCTTGAGTAAGTTGTTGAAGAACAATTCTCTTTCATTTATTCTTTAGGCAAGCTCGATTCTTTTCGTTTTTGTCTCTGATTTTCTGGGTTGCTACCCCAAACTCCTAAATTTTCATCTCCCTCCTCTCCCATGGTCTTATATATTTTTATAGAGGAAAAGTCTAAAATCATACATGATCTTTGACTTTAGACTCAAAGTAATACATATTTTTTCACATGGAGCACTAATACTACATTTACTTTAACAAAGTGGTGCACTTTTAGTCATAACACTGAGAAAAAGCCCAAAAACATACATTATCTTTGAGCTTTAGACTCAAAGTCATATATATTCTTCCACATGGAGCACTAATAGTCCATTTACTTTAACAAAGTGGTGCACTTTTAGTCATAACACTAAACACATTTTAATTTTTAACAGAAATCTAAGATCTAACAAAATATATATTCCCTTTATTTTCTTGTTTACCGAAAAAAATAAAGATGACAGATTTATCTAGATAGCAAATAGTAAATATACATAGAATTTATTTACTATACGTAAAATATATATTTTACTAAAAAATGTTAAACACTGTTAATTTTTATTTGCAATGATTTTTATCTAAATAACCTCAAATGTTATCTAGATTTTTCTCACAAAGATCTATAGAAAAAGAAAAAAAATCAGTGACCAAAAGAACCAATAATTAGGCATTCAAGCTAAAAAGAACATAAATAACCTAAGTTACTCGGACTTGGCAATTTGGGTGCCATACCCATGTCGACGCGACACTGACACGGGTAAGGGTGTGGGATCTGGGTTGGATCCGGTCAAACGAGATCGGGTGTGTTGACCAAACTTTTGGAAAAAATTTTGAGAATTGATTTCCCTAAGTAAAGATTTGAAGAGATGGAAAACGAAATACCTTCCATTACACTGCTATGTAGTAATTTATACTAGTCCTTTTGAAGCTTTTTGTCTTGATCAATCTTCTTGTTCATGCTACAGGTTTCTGAAATTAAGAGCTATAATATTTTTTAGGGCAGAGAAGTTGAAGATGGGTGGTGGACTACTAGACTGAGCTTATTTGGAAGGCCTGGGTCTTGTTCTACTGGAAAAAAGCAGAAACATGGAAAACAATTTGTTGGGGAAGAAGAAGAAGACAGCGATGCAGAGAATAAGGAAGAAGAAGACTTAGACCAGACAAAGAAGAAGACAGGAATGCAGAGAATAANTAAATAAGAAGACGGGAATGCAGAGAATACGGAAAAAGAAGATTTTAGACTAATTAGGAATTGACTATTTTATTACTAGTTGATATGTATATGTTTGCTAATATTCTGCCGAGATAGACATTACATATAATATGTCTTCAATAGTTTTTTGTTTATAAAAATTACAGTTTTAATTGTACCAAAAATAGTTATAGTTTTAATCAAAATAATAAATAATTATTTAATTGTAAACTAAATATAATTGTATATGCTTTAAAGACACATATTTTTATCTGAGTAAACTTCATANAAAATAACGATTGGCTTTGTTTGACTAATTTGACCGATAACAAGATATATCCACTACCATATTAGGGATCCCATCTTGTTAGATTGTTTGATTCTTTCTATCAATACAAGTTCTAGAATATCGAGTTAATTAATATTGATCTATTGAAATACTTGAAATATAATCAATTATTCATGATTAAGATTATATAGCTTTCAGACAAATCACATTAATCGACTAATTTAATCAATAATAAAATATACACAATATCATATGTAATTAAATAATGTTTAAGGTTATATGATTTTGGGGTTTGAGGTTTTAGTTTTGGAGTTTAGGGTTTGGAGTTTGATTAATAATTATATTTCTATTAAAATTAAAAAATATTTCAGAAATTAAAATAATAAAACTAAATGGTACAAACATCATTTAATACAATATTTTACTATCCCATGAAAAGTGACGTGAATAATCTTGTCCAAAAAGTGAATTATCATCATAAACTCCACCCATCATAATACCTTTTTGTTTATTGAATGAATTATTTGTCCAATAAGTCTATTGTCATCGTAAACTACCCATCTCCCCATCAGAATATCTTTTTTCTCATTGAATGAATTTTCTTGTCCAAGAACAAAGACAAACAAGCCATTCTCACTCTCTCTGCTTCATCTCGACTTTCTTTGAATCCATAGCCGAAAAATTTTAGAATTTTTCTTCACCCAATATCCCTTAAAATGTCTTCATCAACAGCTGTGAAACAAAAAGAAAAAGGCATTTCAAGACCAACAAAAAGTGTTGCATCAGATTTTGATGACAAACCCTTATGGAATCATGTTAAAGTTCTTTCAGTTCCTCCTAATGGAGGTGGAAACAGAGTGTGGTCTTGTAATTTTTGCAATAAACAAGTTACTGGTTCATATTCTAAAGTTAAAGCACATCTTCTAAAGATCTCTGGTCATGGCGTTGCTATATGCAAAGAGATTACTCATGAAGTATGTGCAACATTGAAGATGGAGAACGAAGAAGCTGAAAAGAAAAAAACTGACGCACAACTGAATGCAAGAAAAAAGGCAGATTATGTATCTCTACCGGAAGGTTCAGACTTATTACAACTGAAAAAAAGAAAAGGTTCAAATGGTAGAGCACTAGAGAAATCTTTTAACATTTGTAACAGAAACATTGCCGACAAGTTGGCGGCTCGTATGTTCTACGCATCAGGTTTATCATTTAACCTTGCAACTTCTCCTTACTATAAAAAATATTCGGAGTTTTTGGCAGCAAATTCTTTGCCTGGTTATGTTCCGCCAACTTTTAATAGGTTAAGAACAACTCTTTTGGCCCAAGAAAAGGCTCATATTAATAGAAAACTACAACCTATTAAAGATACATGGAAAAGAAAAGGATTGTCGATTTGTTCGAATGGATGGTCAGATATTAAAAGGCGACCATTGATAAATATAATGGAAGCATCTAGTGGCGGACCAATATTCTTAAAATCAATCAATTCAAGTGGGATTATTTAGGATGGTGAATATATTGCTAAGTTATTTATTAAAGCCATAGAAGATGTCGATGCAGAGAATGTTGTCCAAGTTATCACTGATAATGCAGGTAATATGAAGCTTGCCGGTTCTATTGTTGAGCAAACTTTTTCGCACATATTTTGGACACCATGTGTTGTTCATTGTTTGAATCTTGCTTTAAAAAGTATGTGTCAACCTTCAGAAAAATCAACTCACTTTAAAAATTGCGAATGGATATTAAAGTTGATTGGTCAAGTGAGTAGCTTAAAGAATTTTGTGGTGAATCATGACATGGCGCTTGCCATTTTCCAAAAGTATTCGGAGTTATCNAGTCAAGTGAGTAGCTTAAAAAATTTTGTGGTGAATCACGACATGGCGCTTGCCATTTTCCAAAAGTATTCGGAGTTATCTTTGTTGAAAGTTGCGGAAACAAGATTTTCTTCCCATATTATTATGACTTCTCGTATTCATAGAGTTAAATCGTCATTGGAAAAATGGTGATGGATGACGAATGGAAGAATTATAAAGGAGATAAAGTAATTGAAGCTAAAGCGTGCGAAATAAAATCTCTTGTGATGGATGATGAATGGTGGAATACTATTGAATACTTGTTGAGGTGTACGGAGCCAATAGTATCCATGCTTAGAAGTGCCGACCTTGATTGTCCAAAATTGCACCCTATTTACGACATGTGGGATACAATGATTGAAAAGGTGAAGGTGATTGTATTTGAGCATGAGGGGAAAGATCTTATTACCGGCCAATCGAATGTTTTTGCTACAATTCAAGGAATTCTTATGGCAAGGTGGAATAAGAGTAATACTCCATTGCATTGCATGCACATTCATTGGTTCCGAAATATTATCATGAGTCATGGCTTAAAGGTGAAAGCAACGGGTTAAGAAGACTTGCTCCTAATGAAGATATAGAGATTTCACAAAATAGACTCAAATGCTTTCAAAGATATTTCAAGGATCCGAATGATTTAAAGAAAGCTTCTTTGGAGTATGGGACATTTTGTTGTGGGAATGGTTACTTTGGTGAGCCTCATGTAATTGATGCTATGGGGTATGAGGAGCCTTTATCTTGGTGGGCTAACCATGGTATAAATGCTCCACTTTTACAAAGTCTGGCTTACAAATTGCTTTCCTAGCCAACTTCATCATCTTGTTGCGAGAGAAATTGGAGTGCTTTTTTATTGATTCATAGCATCAAGAGAAACAAGCTAGCTACTTCTAGAGCCAAAGATTTAGTTTTTATCCATTATAATCTTCGCTTGCTCTCTCGAAGAAAGGAAAAGTATACAAGTGGTCCAAGCAAATATTGGGATTTAGGTATATCCGTATACATACATATCCATGATTTGATATTTCTTGAGTAATTTCTTTAGCATGATAAGTTCCTTTCACAATCTTCTAAATTTATTTTGGTGTTGTTTTAGGTGGGGATTATTTTAATATTGATGAAAGTATCAATGATCGAGTTGAATTGTGAATAGACGAACTTCAACTAGAAGGAGTCTTCTTTGAAGAGGAAGTTTAAGATTTGCAAGAAGTTGACATTGAAGAGATTGAGGAAGATGACCTTTGAATAGAATGTACTCATGCACAATGTTTCAAGTGACAAGTCTAGCGTAGTTTAAATGTGTATGCTATGTACTTATTTTTTGTCTATGAACTTGTGAACTTACAATTTCTGTAAGACTTTTTGGTGGTCATTTGAGTAACTTAATTTGAATAGCTAATTATTTAAAACTTTTGAATAGTGACTCTTGAATATATGTTAGTCTATTTAGTTCTAAGTTCTAACTTCCAAAGGTATGTTTCATTTCTTTTGTATCTCTAAATCTCTTTATAACTTTTATTTATTATATTTCAACAAATTTATAATAACTTATTTTAATACTTTGTTGTGCGAGTTGTAGGAAAATTAATGAATCATGCCATTTTGGAGAGTGTCTACGTGCCTGCCTACAACTTGAAAACTAAATGACTCAGTTACTACACTCTACAAGGCACAAGTTACACGTAAGTTTTCCATATAATCTCTCATAATTATGCATATCTCTATAACTATATTTCTAGATTTTTAATTTATTTTTGCCGAATCTCCGCACCCGTACCCGTACCTAGATCCGTATCCTCGAATCCTAAAATTTAGACCATGAAGGATCTGACCTTTGGATCCGCACCCGTGTCGGACACCTGCACCCGAGTCCGAGTAACTTAGTAAATAACTACTTATCAGAATTATTAATTTGAAAGAAAAGATTATCTCTCAGCACAAGGGTATAAAATCTACAGCCGAATTTACAAGTGGTATGAAGTTTAGAAAGATCCACTGCCCTGTTCTTCATCTTTTTTTTTTTTCTTTTTTACGTAGAATCTGAAAAAATGACAGTCCACCTGCAGACCTGCTGGATGTTCTTGGATGATGTCTGCTCTGATCATAGATTTGAATTGTCAGCAAAAAGATGAGAGAGTCTTGTACAGTTATGCATCTGCTTAAGAGAACACCAGTATTAGGTCGCAGTTTGCTCGTCACATGCCTCAACGAGCAATAAAGGAAATGAACAGATCTGAATTAGTCAATTTATGAACCTGGTAAGTCAGAATTTATTTAAAGGCAGCATTGCTATAGCTTAAAATGGAAAAGAAACTCTCTTTCATTAAGCCAAGTATTTTATCTTGCAACAACCTTTATATTAAGACGTACAAGCCATTAGAAACTTTTGATTAGTCTGCAAAATGTTCAAAGTTCAGTACTATTCAATCAGCCATCCAAGAGAGTTAGAGAAACTGACTAGATTTTATAATTATTGAATGAAACCCGAAATACAATTGCATTACTGCGATACAGACAAACTTCATTTTAAGGTGGAAAGTGGAAGTGATAGCAACACATTTAAAGAGGTAAAGTCTAAAAAGCGGAGCTTCTTTCTCATTAAACGTGTTGTCGAATCTTAAACTAAACTTTTAAGAGGCGGATTTTCTGGAGTTGCATGTATACTAAAAATAGATTTTTATTTTTACTTGTGACTTTACGCATATCAAGAGAAGACAAAAAAAAATTTCTGTTATACCCACGGTATTTATTACTCATTTCAAATCCTTTTCTCCAATCCAATAAAATATGCATCAATTAATATGGGCATCATAGTAAATTATACACTTCATTTATTATTTCTTAAGGGTCGTGAAAAGTCAAAACGTATCAAGTAAAAGTGAACGGATGAAGTATATAAAAAGAGTTAAAAAAAAGGAGCAATAACACCCTTTTGACGGAACAAGAAAATGATTATTGCTCGTTTCTTTTCATAACCTCCTATATACTGGGATCTTTTCCATGTAATGGAGCTTCGACAGCAGCTAGGTCTAGAGAGAAGTGAGCATTACGTTCGTGCATAACTTCTATACCAAGGTTAACACGGTTAATGATATAGCTCAAGTATCCTTATAATTTCCTCTATATTGACATAATCAATACTATGTCGGAGTGAAACAAGAGATCTAAAGAAGAAGAGACGCTAGACTATATTAGTGACAAGCAAACCTCACCTGATAAGAATAGCAAGATAAAATATTTTCCTCCTCAACTTTCTACACAAGATTCGCATTTGGAACATAACCTTCTCTTGCCATCTCCTCAAACAAGTAGTCAAGTGCCTGGTGAATCTCATCTGCAATTGGATGGGATGAATTGCCAGCACTAAATTCAACAAGCTGAGAATCCATCTTAATCCAGCTACAGCCTGGAATTTTAGTCACACCTTTCTGTCGCATTAATTGTCTCATCCTTGCTGAATTATCCCATCTTCTGAGATTTGCATATATCTTCGATGATATTATATAATTACCCGAATTTGTTGGTTCCATCTCTAGAAGTAGCTGCATTACTCGTTTCACCAACATCAATATTTTTGAGCTTTTGACAGGCACCAAGCAATGCTCCAAATAAAATCTCATCTGGTTTTTGAGGCATCTTCTCAATAAACTCCCATGCTTCATATACGCGACCAGCACGAGACAAAAGGTCAAACATGCAAGAGAAATGCTCAACTTTTGGAACCAATCCAAATGATGAACTCATTATATCAAACAAGTGCCTGCCTTCATCAACCAATCCTGCATGTACACATGCGGAGAGTACTCCAACAAACGTGACATCATCAGGACGGGAATCACTACTCTTGAGTGACATGCGCTTAAACAGGGATAACGCCTCTTGTGCTTTTCAGTGAAAGGCAAGAGCAACGATCATTTCCTTCCAAAAGACTTCATTTTTTCTAGGCATGCTTTCAAAAATTTGATATGCATCATCCAGATTGCCGCATTTTGCATAGATATGAATTAAAGGCAGTAGCTACATATATGTGATGCTTATACCCCTGCTTGATGCATAGTCATCGATGCCTTTTCCAAAATCCAGAGCTCCAATTGCAGCCATCACACGCACACCATTTTCTCTTAACAAGTATGACCAACTTTCTTGAACTTAAACATCAATACCTACAACGTGAAGAAACTCATAAGACAATATAATATATTAAGTGTGTTGTAGACTTCCTTGACTTGTCCTTTAAAATTTTAAACTATCATCGTTGCTTACACTGTAATCATATAACATGAGGTAAGAAATGGAGCACGTGAAATAAAGACAATAAAAAATTTAAGCTGATTAGCGAGCAATAATTTGAGACAGTTTAAATCTTACACACAATTATTGATGACGGCACTAAGGCAATCATTCCCCATGCTCGCTTGCTCTTCTTGAAGTTCTTCCACTGATTTTGCAGCGGACATACTGCAGTCATACAATTCTATCGATTCCAAGCTATAAATTTCTCCAAAGTCTTTAGGGATTTCTTCCAGGCCTATGCAGCTTCTCAGAACTAGGCGTTGTAGTTTTGGGAAGTTAACACTCCCAGCTTCCCAGTGCCTCAGAAACGTCACACTGATTAGGAGGAACTTAAGTTGACTGAAAATCTCTTCATCATTTAATCTCCACTCATCATTATCAAATACATCTTTTATTTTAAGCACTTCGAGGTTTGGCAACATTACAATATTTGTCATGTCTTCCAGTGGAAAAAGAGTATTTGTTAAAGTCAACCTCTTAAGAGATGTAGGTAAAGAAAACTTCCTTGGTAGCTGGGGACGGTAGCGTCCTTGGTACTTGAACTTCAATATTTCAAGTTCTTTTAAACAGGAAAGACTATCTAGGTGCTGGTAAATCTTATCTCTCTTGCATTCGCTCCAATTTCCATGAATCTTGAGCCTCTTAAGATTTGGAATAGCAGAAAACATTTCATAAGTACAGCTGGACAAATTTAGACAGGAAAGTCCCTCCAAATTTTCTAGCTTGAAACCAGACTTAGGGATTGCAAGAGAAAAGACTCTCTTGACGACTTGAAGATGCCTTAAATGTTTCATTTCCCAAATTGTCTCAGGTATAGTTGGAGGTTTAAGAGCTTCGTGACGAAAAATGAAGGTCTGCAGATTGTATAGCTTTGACACTAACAGGTGAATATCATCACTACACCAGAACTGAAGGTATCTGAGATGTACTAATTTTGTTATCTCAAGAGGGAAATCTCTAAACTCAAAATAAGGGATTACCAACACTCTTAGCAGTTTGAAGTGCTCAAAATGAAAAAATCGACCAAATCCACGTAAGTGCACTGTTCGGATGAGACTGGACTCCTCCCAGCAATCAGCCTCATAAATGTACGGATGGAAGCTGTAGCGACGAACATGAAGCTTCTTTGCCGAAGGATTCATGGCTTCGTGAGTTCTAGTAACCTGCAAGAATTTCTCTTTCTCAGCTTCTCTTAAAATCAAGTCGCGAACCAGATCATGGACACCACATGTTCTCGCCTCACCATTAAATCTCCTCTTTCTAACCATTATCAGATGCCTACTAACAAGATCCTCCCAACAATCTCTTCCCACTTGTTCCATGCTTTTGAGCTTTTCTTTCCCTAGAAAACCCTCAGAAACCCATAATTTGATCAACGTCACAATGTTAACCTCGCTATCTTCTGGAAAGACTCCCATGTAAAGGAAACATGGTTTAAGGTGATTAGGTAAGTAATTGTAACTCATAGCAAGCACTCCTAGACATTTATCTGATTCATTAGCAGCAACTATACTT